CCTCAACCTGCTGGGCTCCGGCGATCCTTCCGCTTCAGCCTTCCAAGTAGCGGGAATTACAGGCATGTGCTACCACGCCCAGCTGATTTTTTGATTTATTGTAGAGATGAGGTCTCGCTGCCCAGGCAGGTCTCAAACCCGCGGGCTCAGGCAATCCATTCACCTCAGCCTCCCAAAGGCGCGAGATTACAGGCTGAGCCACCGAGCCCGGCTCTAGAGATTAATTTTAAATAGTTCTCTATTCATAATTATTATATGTTCCACAGTCAATGGATAGGCCAGATTTTGGTCTCTTCATACAAGCACCTCAGAAATATTTCACCAGAGGCTTCTTGGTGTCTCATTTTTTGTTGGGTGCTGGGGCCATGGAAGATACACCTGTGTAGTACAGTATGTATGTTCAGTAACACACAGCAGGGAGGCAGAGGCTGGCCGGGTTCCACTAGCCTGCTTCTTGTTGTTGAGTGTTGATAAAGTCCTTGTTTGGTGCTGCACTTGCAAATCCTTTGACCACTTGCATTGACTGGGCCCTGCTGTGCTGCTGGAGCCAGAACTGCCACCCAGTGACCTCGCAGGGCCTCATGGTCCCCTGTGGGCTGTCCTCGAGATGAAATGTTTAGAAAGGAACATCATAGAAGGAAACAAAAAACTGCTTCAGATGGCTTTCTTCCCAGTTCATAGATGGATGGAGGCTTGGTAGCAAGTGGTCATGTTTAAGGTGTTCTATGTCATGGCAGGCTCGAGCCAGGGCTGTAGTTACACTGTAGTGAGGTAGAGTGAAGAGCTCCACATGGGAGTCTGGCCAGGCTGTGAAGAAGGGAGAGCTTCTGGTAGCAAAGACCTCTCATCTTCACAGGTACATTGGTCTGTCTGTGTCTTTGTCCTTTCAGGTTGCTTTAACAGAATACCTGACTGGTCATGATGGTTCATGCCTGTAATCCCAGCACGTTGGGAGGCCAAGGCACGGAGGATTCATTGAGAACAGGAGTTCAAGACCAACTTGGGCAACATAGCAAGACCTTGTCTCTACAAAAAAGTGAAAAAAGTGCATGTGCATGGTATTGCATACCTATGGTCCCAGCTACTCAGGAGGCTGAGGAGGAAGGATTGCCTGATCCCAGGAGTTTGAGGCTTCAGTTAGCTGTGATCATGCCACTGCTCTCCAGCCTGGGCAATAGAGTGAGACCCTTACTCAAAAACAGCAACAACAACAAAAACCCAGAATGCCCTAGACTAGACAGTTTATTCGCAACAGAAGTGTATTGGTCACAGTTCTGGAGTCTGGGAAGTCCAAGATCATGGGGCTAGCAGATTCAGCATCTGGAGAGGCCTATTCCTCTTAGGTGACATCTTCTGTGTGTCTTCACATGGTAGAACAAACCTCTTCAAGACTGGTTTATAAGGGCCTTGATGCCATTCAGGAAGATGGAGTCTCTTGACCTCATACCCTCCCAAAGATCACCTCTTAATACATGACATTGGGAGTTAGGTTTTAACATATAAGTTTGGGGGAGACACCAACATTGAGACCATAGTGGACTGCAACAGGTTTGGCAGACTCTAAGGCTCTCAAGGGAGAGCCGCACTAGCTCCAGGAGAGGGGCTGGTGGCAGACAGCTGAGTGGCACTCCGTCCCCCTCTTTTTGTGGCGGTCACGGTGAAGCTGTCACCAGGGAGCTGCCCTCTTTATACCTGCTTCCTGACCTCTTCGGTCAGATGCTTCTGCTGCATCAGTGGAGCCACCGAAGGAGGAAATAAGTGTTCTGACCAAACCAGGGAGAAGGTATTGACGAGGCTAAATCTTGGGACAGAGAGTTGTACTTTTTCCTCCGAATTGTTGACTTCTTGTTTTCTTCTCAGGGTGTTTTTTGTTGTTGTTGTTGTTTTGTTTTGTTTGTTTGTTTGTTTTGAGTTGGGGTCTTACTCTGTCTACCCAGGCTGGAGTGAGTAGCATGATCACAGCTTATCACAACCTTGACCTCTTGGGCTCAGGTAATCCTGCCTCAGTCTCCCCCATAGCAGGGACTACAGGCGCATACCATCATGCTCAGCTAATTCATCTTTTTGTAGAGATACGGTTTCACTATGTTGCCCAGGCTGGTCTTTAACCCCTGGGCTCAAGCAATCCTTTTGCTTCTCAGAATTTTTTTTTAACACCTATAAAACAAGGGATGGTTTTTAGTAAACAAAGACGCATCCTGCTCTACTCTTTCTTCCTGTTCCCTGGTGAGACTGGGCTGACATGATTATAATTAATCTTTTCTGGTGAACATGTGGTATTTCGTCGCCGGGCCCTGTCTAGCCAGTGTAATTGACACCATTTGAACCCCTGGGGCCTGTTCACCTTACCCAACTCTCCAAGTGCCTGGGGCTTGACAGAGTGTTTCTCTCCTCAGGACACTGGAATCGGTATGACACAGGAAGAGCTGGTGTCCAATCTAGGTACGATTGCCAGATCAGGGTCAAAGGTAAGCATGGACCCACTACAGTCCCTAGGGTTGGGAGGGTCCTTCCTGTAAGGGTGGCCCTGGAGGCCAGATAAAGTAAGAACATTATCAGGTGTGTACCATGTGACAGGGGGAACACTTTATGACATTACAGTCGTCCCTTGGTGTCTGTGGGGATTGGTGCCAGAACCCCTCCAGATAACAAAATCCATAGGTGCTCAAGTCCTTGATATAAAATGGCATAGTAATTTTATACATACACCATCCTGTCTAATTATTATAAGCAATCTTTGGTTATAATACCTAATGCAATGTAAATGCTATGAAAATAGTTGTTATACTCTATTTATGTAGTAGTTTGTTTTTGAGTCAAGGTCTCATTGTTACCTAGGCATGATCACGGCTCACCACTGTCTCAACCTCCTGGGCTCAGGTGATCCTTCCACCTCAGCCTCCTGAGTAGCTGGCCAGTAGAATACAGTACAGTGTGCTGTCCCATACAATAGCCACTAGCTGCATGCAACTGTTTACATGTAAATGCATTAAAATTAAATGAAATGTGAGATTTAGTTCCTCGGTCACACCAGCCATATTCCAGGTGCTCAACAGGCATATATGGTCAGCAGCTGCCACATTGAACCTGGCAGATACAGAGTGTTTCCATGTCGCAGAACATTCTCTTGGACGACACTGGTCAGAGCAACGAGCGTGTGCATCTTACTTGATTGTTGGTCTTAGGAACTTTGGTAATATTCGTTCAGGATAATTAAGAACTGTGTGGTACATGCAGATGCCTGTGCTTGGTTCTTACTCCTTTCCCACAAAGCCTAGAAGCCAGGAGACTTTGTGCAAGAGACCAGTGCAGGAGCCTCTCCTCCCTTCACCCCTGGCCCATGGTTTGTGGCTCCCCAAAAGCACTGCCTGACCCTCTGCGGAGTGGGTGGGCCTATTCACACTGCCTCTTTCCCCACCGTAAGACATGACCCACAGGCCTCACCTTTCACATCGAATCACATCTAATTCTGACCCATCCCACTGCTGCCAGGTGGGCAAGTGTATCACCTCTCTGTGACTTAGCACTTTATTTTTATTTTATTTTATTTTTTTTGAGTTGGAGTCTTACTCTGTCGCCCAGACTAGAGTGCAGTGGCACACTCCTGGCCACCGCAGCCTCGACCTGCTGGGCTCCGGCAGTCCTTCAGCCTCAGCCTTCCAGGTAGCTGGAACTACAGGTGTGCGCTACCACGCCCGGCTAATTTTTGATTTATTGTAGAGATGAGGTCTCGCCAAGTTGCCCAGGTGGGTCTCAAACCCTCGGGCTCAGGCAAATCCACTCACCTCAGCCTCCCAAAGCACAGGATTACAGGCTGAGCCACCGAACTGACTTAGTGCTTTATTAAATAGGGTGAGAAAAGTACTCATTGAGGCAATGTTAAGGATTAAATGAGATCTTAGTGTGTTCTAGAGAGATGTCTACAGTAGGTAGCAAGTGTCAGCTCTCTCAGTAGGAGAGGCCGCCCTCCTTCTGACCAGCCTCTGCTCCTACAGGCCTTTCTGGAAGTGCTGCAGAACCAGGGTGAGGCCAGCAGCAAGATCATCGGCCAGTTTGGAGTGGGCTTCTACTCGGCCTTCATGGTGGCCGACAGAGTCGAGGTCTATTCCTGCTCGGCGGCCCCGGGCAGCCTGGGTTACCAGTGGCTTTCAGATGGGTGAGTATGAGGCATGGGTCCCACCTCCCATGGGAGTGCCTGTCCCTGGGGGACAGTAGCTGATGCTGTCTGACTTGCACATGGGAACTCGGTGAAAGCAGTTCCTACTGAATTTGAAAAGAGACTCTCCTCAGATAATGGGCATGGATGTTTTCTGGACTTTTTATGTTAAATCTGACTCTCACCTCAAGGAACCACTTTTGTAGCTCCAGGTGGCCCATGGTGTCTGTGCAGTCCTGTGTGGCTGGTCACTGTCACCATGCTCAGGAGTGCTGAGCCCCGACCAGACTGAGTGCCTTCCTCAGTGGCTTGGCTGCAGGACTGGCCTTTCTCCCCATGGAGCCTGCTCTGCAAGTAGTCTCCCCTGTCTGCCTTCTGTGAGAGCTCATTCTGCTTCCTCCCAAACCTGGAGTTTGCTCGTTTTACCTCCACTTCTGTGAGGTGAAGAGGCTGCCAGAACTTTTCCAAGGATGCATGTGTGCTGCTTCCAGCCAAGTCCAGGAGTTCTCTCTCCAAGACTCTTGTTTTGTTCTCTAGTGTGCACTTGGGGCAATGTCTTACAAATTGATTAGGTAGATGTTTCAAAGAAACTTGAGATGCTCTTTGAAGAGACTGGCATCTTAGCCAAATTTAAGTGTTTTTTCCAATAAGCCCCACAACCTCATTTCTGCATCATGCTTTCCTGAGTGCGTCCAGCTGCCCAGCGGTAGAAGTGGCCGGGCCCAGCACAGCTCATGTCCTGTGAGCCCAGCACAGCTCATGCCCTTGGCCAAAACCAAGATTTCTGTTTAATTCCATGAAAGACCTGCCCAGAGTGAATGTGGGCCTAGGTACCAACAAGTTCGCATTGAGTACATCTCTGCCCCCTGTACTTCTGAAATGGTTTTCTGCTCTTCTGAGGGTGTCCCTGGTCTTTGCCAGATGACCAGAAACGACACAGGGGTTGGCCTTTGCCCCTACCCCTCTGGTGTCTGGTGCTGATTGGGAGTCAGGCCAGGACCCACCCACCAGTGTCCCAGGCCTGCTTTTGGGTAACATAACCCAGGAGCTTCTCCTAGAGGGTGGGCAGAGACCTTGGAGGAAGCCGGAAGAGCTCCTTACTGCAGCCACAGCATCTTCATTCCTGACGCCCATTCAGTGGCCTGAGGGGCTCTGCTGGGTCATAAGCATGGCACTTCCGATTTCCCTCTCTGTGTTCCTTTGCCTGTTTGTGAAGATACTAAGGAAAAGCCGCGGAATGTGCCGTGCAGGGGTTTTGTCCGCAATGATGTGTGGAACTGGCTTTTCCTTTCCCTTGTGTGCCTCAGTTCTGGAGTATTTGAAATCGCTGAAGCTTCAGGAGTTAGAACCGGAACGAAAATAATCATCCACCTCAAATCCGACTGTAGAGAGTTTGCCAGCGAGGCCCGGGTACGAGGTGAGTAAGAGCCTGGACCCCAGGCTTGAATGTAGGTACCTGTGCATGATCGTCACCAGGTTGGTAAGGTGGACTCCTGCTGGCGTACTTGACTGGTTCCACCTGGGTCAGTGGCGCATGGGCAGAGCTGTGATGGGCTGGGCTGCCTGATGACCTGGGAGGGGCTGGGCCCAGGTTGGCCCAGGATCTGCATAGGACAGAGCTGCCGCTGGTTTTGTGTTGTGGCGTTTGAAGGCAAGCTGACTGGCGAAGACAGCGCTTCTCGTCTTCCTTTAGTCAGCCTGGTGGGTTTGGCGCAGTCCTTTCATAAAACATTGGCACCCTTAACCCAGGCTCACCGAAAGCCAGAGGGAGGCGGGCCCATCCAAATGTCAGTCGCTCTCTGTGTGTCTTCTTGAATATTTATTGGAGCTGCTGTGCACTTCCCAGGAGTCGCTGTGGGCCCATGAAGCCATGCTTCTGCCACCAGGAAGGTGGTGTGGTCTCACAGTGGACTGGGCTTCGTGAGGTTTGGTTCTTGTTCAGGTCCTGTGCTGCTGTGCTCACAGGGAAGGCAGGTGTCTCCACTGTGCCCTGGTATCTTCCCCTGTGAAGTGGGCGCAGGGTGCAAGAGCCCTCCCTGTGGGTTGGTGCTCACCTTGGAGCAACTTTAAGCCTTTTGTTTCCAGAAGCTTCCTGGATTCAATGTTGTTTCTCTTTGTCTCTTCCAGATGTGGTAACAAAGTACAGTAACTTTGTCAGCTTCCCCTTGTACCTGAATGGAAGACGGATTAACACCTTGCAGGTAAGAGCTGAGTTCACTGAAGGGCTGGATCCCCCATGGAGAAAAACTCAAAACATTTTAGGGGTGGAGGGCAGAGATGAGACGGGGTGACACTGTCCAGAATCGCAGGGTGATGTGTTCTCGATGGAGAGACAAGGTCTGGGGGTGTGAGCAGGGACTGCAGCACACACAGCCCAGCTCATGTGTACCAGGTGGTCAGGGTTCACTGAGGTGTCATGTCCATCAGTTAGTATGCAGATAAGACAGGAAAGATTTACCAGTTAGAATTGTGTTGCAGCCACCACAGGCAATTCCAGAACGTTTTCTCACCCCCTCCCCCAGCCCCGGGAAGCCACACTCTCTGTTAATTTGCCTGTTCTGGACATGTCACATGGAGGAATCATACCATACCTGGTTTCTTGTGACTGGTTTCCATGGCTCAGCCACTGTGTAGTGTGGCTGAGTGTTGTTCCCTGGGCGGGTAGCCCATGTTTTGATCAGCTTCCTGTGCATGGGTAGCATTGTTCTCTTTCATGGGCACCCTTGGGTCCTGGTTGGCTCTCCTCACACGCTGTCCTGGGTGGCTGCTGCTCAGGGGCCTTTTAGTGTCTCTCCTTGCCCCCCTCCGCACTAGAGATGGGAGGCTGTGCCTGAGACCACCGCCAATCTATCCCACTCAGCCGTCCAGGGCACGGGCTCCACGAGCTCAACCTTGCATGGTTGTTAGGAAGACTCATCTTAAACATGATGTCCCTCCTCCATCTCCATTTTTAGGCCATCTGGATGTTGGATCCCAAGGACATCAGCGAGTGGCAGCATGAGGAATTCTACCGCTACATCGCCCAGGCTTATGATAAGCCCCGCTACACTCTGCACTACAAGACAGACGCGCCACTCAACATCCGAAGCATCTTCTATGTGCCGGACATGGTGAGGCGTGGGCTCAGGCCCCAAGCAGCCTCGGATGCCTTTCTGCTGCCTGGGCTGGGCCTTCCCCACAGTCATAGGGTTTCTGATGCAGCAGCGCTTCCCCAGAGGGCAGCAGCTCCACAGACAAATCACACAACGAGCACAGCAGTTTTAGAACATGAGAAAAACAGATGCCTCTGGGTGGGCGGACACGGGTTTCACTCTCACCCGGTCATGTGCAACGAGGGAACATTTTATAGAGTGTCTTCAGTGAAGGCTTGGGCGTGGGCTTGGTGGCCTGGGCAGTGAGGGAGGGGCCCTTGGAGCCGCTCTCTGTGCAGACTCCCCACCTGGGCAGCAGTGCAGTGACTGTTCTGTGAGGTACTCTGTGGAAGGCCTGTGGTGGACCACCGCATTGACCATTCTGTTTCCTCGAGGCCCCACCTCTCATGGTTCCTGTTAGCACATAGATGCTCCCTCAAGCCCTGCAGTCAAAACTTTTCAGGACTTACAGCATAGCCTTTCCTGCCTTATCTGCCCAGAACTCGCTTAACATCCCACGTTGTTAGCGTCTGCTGCAGAAAGAGCTGTTGCTACCTTTCCCACTCCACATGGGACCCACAGGCCAGAACCTCAGCATCTCCTGGGACTTCTTAGAAATGCAGGGTCAGCCGGGCTTGGTGGCTCAGCCTGTAATCCCACGCCTTTGGGAGGCTGAGGTGAGTGGATTGCCTGAGCCCGCGGGTTTGAGACCCACCTGGGCAGCGAGACCTCATCTCTACAATAAATCAAAAAATCAGCTGGGCGTGGTAGCACACGCCTGTAATTCCGGCTACTTGGAAGGCTGAGGCGGAAGGATCGCCAGAGCCCAGCAGGTCGAGGCTGCGGTGGCTGGGAGCAGCCACTGCACTCCAGTCTGGGCGACAGAGTGAGACTCCAACTCAAAAAAAAAAAGAAAGAAAGAAATGCAGGGTCTTGGCCAGGCTCAGTGGCTCAGCCTATAATCCCGGCACTTTGGGAGGCCGAGGTGAGTGGATTGCCTGAGCCCGCAGGTTTGAGACCCGCCTGGGCAACTTGACAAGATCTCATCTCTACAATAAATCAAAAATTAGCCAGGCGTGGAAGCGCACGCCTGTAGTTCCAGCTACTTGGAAGGCTGAGGCGGAAGGATCGCCGGAGCCCAGCAGGTTGAGGCTACGGTGGCCGGGAGCGGCCACTGCACTCCAGTCTGGGTGACAGAGTGAGACTCCAACTCAAAAAAAAAAAGAAATGCAGGGTCTTAGCCGGGCTCGGTGGCTCAGCCTGTAATCCCACGCTTTGGGAGGCTGAGGTGAGTGGATTGCCTGAGCCCACGGGTTTGAGACCCACCTGGGCAACTTGGCGAGACCTCATCTCTACGATAAAACAAAAAATTAGCCAGGTGTGGTAGCGCGCACCTGTAGTTCCAGCTACTTGGAAGGCTGAGGTGGAAGGA